CAGATTTTATTTCCCTGTTCAAACTCGTTCGAGGAATTTATTACTGGACAAAAACAGAGTGTAAAAGGGGGAATACATCTTAATTAATTATTTGAAACTATACACGTATCGTATGGTTTTTTTTACAAATAGGCTATCGCATTAAACAGATAAAAAATATTTCACTCGTTAAACAATTAAAGAAATGTATTACTGGACAAGAATGAGTTTAAATGGCGAAAATTATTTTGTTTTAAATAAAATTTGCATATAAAAGCTGTCTATGAATAATATTAAACTATATGAGGAGTTTAAAGAAATTAAGTAAAACAATGAAAATACCAAACGACAGTGTCTTGTAAATATGTGGATACACTTTCAATAGTCAAAACGTGTTATTTATTTAAATGGATCTTAACAACAAGAAATTAGAACAAAACACACACATATTTAAAAATACATATTTCGGTAATTTTTTTTTAATGTATTAGGCGCTCTATTGATGCATTATCCTTTGTTTTTTTTACTATCAATGCTTAACCACACGAAGTCTTATATTGTAGGACTTTCCTCGTAGTTGAAACAGAGTTTTTATCCCAAAGGACGCCACATTTTGCAATGAATTAGATCTATATTTTTTAACGTTTTCAAATGAAATTAATTGAATGGAAAATTTCCCGACTATAGACATGACAAGACATATATGTAGATTTCTTAAATTTAAATTGGCTTCAATTATTACAAACAAAATGAAAAGTTTATTTAATATTTTTGCTAAAACAATAAATCTTTATTATTTTTATTTTTCAAAGGAAACCTTGTTGTGTTTGTTTGCCAAGCTTACTTGTATGTGTTTATTACCATCACTAGTCACTCCTAAGTAATAAAGATCAAAGGACCTAATCAACATGATAATTAGTATTCAATATAATCATCGGCCATGCATGACATATCCCACGAAAACGGCGCGTGCCGACAAAAACTTCAATAACTTCTTAAATATTGAATTGATTTTATTTAGAGGAAAATTATAAGATAAAAAATTAAATTATCTATCGAATGCATACCCTCAACGCTCACTAAAACATCTATTACATGTCCTGAGTGCACTCAGGAAGTCCTGAGCGGTTTTTAGACGTACCGATATAAATCTTTCACTATTTTTTATAAATACAGTAAACATCAACTACTGACTGAAATAGCATCAAACAATAGGACAGTACATTGTATATGGATATCTGATATTTTTTAATCCATGCTGTCTTTTTGCATTTTTTTTGGGGGGGTGGGGGGAGGGTTCTGTCGAATGTAGGACAGAAAGTCACAGAACAAAAATTCACAATTCAGTTTTTAAATTATTTTTCTTTGAATAAGACACTTATTTTTAGTGGATTGGTAATTAAAATGGTTTCAAGGTGTCAAAAATATATCCTTTGCATAATAAAAAATTTATGAATCTTCATTTATCAAGGCTTTTGAACAATTTCATAAACTAAAAAATGAAGATATGTAATAAAAAGAAATTGTTTCAAGAAATTCCTCTTATATATTCAAACAATTACAAAAAAATTAATTGTGACTTTTTGTCCTATCAAATTTTTATTACTTTCTGTCCTGTGAGCTTTGTCCTGTGACTTTCTGTCCGTTTACCAATTCTGTAAATGTTTCAATGTACAAATATACATTATAAACATGGCTTTCATTTGACATACATCACTAAAATATTTAAGAGTTGAACGCTTCTTTTTGTAAATTATTGGGTTGTAAAAGCATTGACCGAAGTACATTTTGTATGAAGCATGGAAGGGCTTCATTCTAACTAGAGGCTCTCAAGAGCCTGTGTCGCTCACCTGACTCTACTTTGGTTTTAGAAATCATGTAAAGATAGATAAAAATCATAACAGATACCCAAATAATGATTGAGGCCAAATTTTGATTAATATTGGTCCCGTTATTTAATAAAATATCCTGGTGGCCATCTTGAACAGTAAATCGGCCACAAGGTAGCAACACTTGGTCAGCACTTCATAAGGAACATTCATGCCATGTTTGGTTTCATTCCATTCAGTGGTACTCTAAAAGAAAACATTTGTATGTATTTCCCATAGGGTCCTATGTTAAACTAAGCCCCCCCCCCTAGCGGCCATCTTGGATGATGGATCGCCTGCAAAGTAACAACACTTGGTCAGCAACTCATAAGGAACATTCATGCCATGTTTGGTTCAATTCCATTCAGTGGTTCTCTAAAAGAAGACAATTGTATGTATTTCCCATAGGGTCCTATGTTAAACTAAGTCCCCCGCTGTCGGCCAACTTGGATGATGGATCAGCTGCAAAGTAACAACACTTGGTCAACATCTCATAAGGAACATTCATGCCATGTTTGGTTCCATTCCATTTATTGGTTCTCTAAAAGAAGACATTTTTATGTATTTCCCAAAGGGTCCTATGTAAAACTAAGTCCCCCGCTGGCGGCCATCTTGGATGATGGATCGGCTACAAAGTAACAACACTTGGTCAGCATCTCATAAGGAAGATTCATGCCATGTTTGGTTTCATTCCATTCAGTGGTTCTCTAAAAGAAGACATTTGTATGTATTTCCCATAGGTCCTTTGTTAAACTAAGTCCCCTGCGGTCGGCCATCTTGGATGATGGACCGACTGCAAAGTAACAACACTTAGTCAGCACCTCATAAGGAACATTCATGCAATGTTTGGTTTCATTCCATTCAGTGGTTCTCTAAAAGAAGACATTTGTATGTATTTCCCATAGGGTCCTATGTTAAACTAAGTCCCCCGCTGGCAGCCATCTTGGATGATGGATCGGCTACAAAGTAACAACATTTGGTAAGCATCTCATAAGGAACATTCATGCCATGTTTGGTTCCATTCCATTCAGTGGTTCTCTAAAAGAAGACATTTTTATGTATTTCCCATAGGGTCCTATGTTAAACTAAGTCCCCCGCTGGCGGCCATCTTTGATGATGGATCGGCTACAAAGTAACAACTCTTGGTCAGCACCTCATAAGGAACATTCATGCCATGTTTGGTTTCATTCCATTCAGTGGTTCTCTAAAAGCAGACATTTGTATGTATTTCCCATAGGGTCCTATGTTAAACTAAGTCCCCCGATGGCGGCCATCTTGGATGATGGACCGACTGCAAAGTAACAACACTTGGTCAGCATCTCATAAGGAACATTCATGCCATGTTTGGTTTTATTCCATTCATAGGTTCTCTAAAAGAAGTCATTTGTATGCATTTCCCATAGGGTCCTATGTTAAACTAAGTCCCCCGCTGGCGGCCATCTTGGATGATGGATCGGCTACAAAGTAACAACACTTGGTGAGCACCTCATTAGGAACATTCATGCCATGTTTGGTTTCATTCCATTCAGTGGTTCTCTAAAAGAAGTCATTTGTATGCATTTCCCAAAGGGTCCTATGTTAAACTAAGTCCCCCGCTGGCGTCCATCTTGGATGATGGATCGGCTACAAAGTAACAACACTTGGTGAGCACCTCATAAGGAACATTCATGCCATGTTTGGTTTCATTCCATTCAGTGGTTCTCTAGAAGAAGTTCAAAATGTAAAAAGTTAACGCCGACGACGGACGACGCCGAACGACGACGGACGACGCCGAACGACGACGGACGACGCCGAACGACGACGGACGACGGACTCCAAGTGATGAGAAAAGCTCACTTGACCCTTCGGGCCAGGTGAGCTAAAAATGTGTGCACGGTCAACGCTTTTACAACCCTATAAAATTACTAAAAGAAGCATTCAATACTTTAGTTAAATTTTTTTGCTAGGATCATGGAAACACGATTTCTATCAAGTTTACCTTTTATTTACCTTTGCACTTTATTGTGGAGTCTCATGTCATCATGAATGTTACATTTCATTTTAAAATGAAGGTTAAGTTCAGAATGACGTGAGATTGCTGTTAGGCAATCAAAATAACATTATAATGAAACATACATGTAATGTAATTATTGATTAATGAACAGTGGCGTAGCAGACACTTAAATATTTGTACGGCAAAGTACCCGTTCTAGAAGGGTATCATAAAAATTACTGGTACGGCAATGATGTGTTTTTAAAATTATTGATACGACGAAAACCGTGCCTGCTGTCCTGGCTGCTACGCCCCTGATAAATACCTTACATAGCTTAATGCTTTTATATTCTTGTAATCTGGTGTAGATGGAGGGTTCAATTAATACTTTAGGGGTTAATAAAGTCACTGAAATTGTTCAAAATTTAAAAAATATTCAAAAACATGAAATGAAAATATAAGACAGATGAAAAAAAAATTGTTGAAGGAGATGATGTGAATATATCATTCATTTTTATGTGACTGGCTTCTCAAAATATTGAGACAAAAAATGAACTTGTCCTGACCAATATGCACCTTAATGTAGATATGAATATATGCTTGTCACAGATTTCAAGATTTCCAATTAACGATGAAAGCAAGTTAAAAATGTCTATACATTTGGCTTTACACCTTTTATCACCTAAATATGTAAAAATCACCTACTTTCTGTTTGAATCAACATATAACTAACATCCTTGGACAAATTTAATATTTTGAAGTCCTATAACTTTTTCCATAAAAAGATATTTACAAAAACTGACAAAGTACTACTGGTCTTTCTTTTATTTAACATTTCTTTTTAAGACAAAAACAGGATCTTTAGTTGCTTTTCATCATACCAGAGACATATAATACATATATGTCTCTGATCATACCAACTTGTCTTTGCTTTTGAATCACAGTACTTTGTGTACTTAGCTTATTTACTGTCTTTTAATTTCTACAATATACAAGTGATATGATTTCTCCCGTTGTGAAATAGAGTGGATGGGTACTGAAATCTTTTTTTAGGGGGAATTAACAAAACTGGACCAAGCTCCTATAGTGAGGTCTAATTTCCATATGTCCCATTTCAGAAGTACCTGGATCCGCTCTAGATAAAGTCCTTAATTCGGAGGCTACATGATTGTAAATCTTACCTTAGGTTTTTGAAACCGTGTTTTGCTTTAACTTTGTCCTGGTCTTAGCAAACTTTTGAAATGTTCAATGTCCTGGTTTTAAGTATCTTAATGCTGAGTATTGTAATACAGCGATTTGATGTGGATAACTGATGATTATACACTGCCACAAAACTGGTCAAAAAGGAATTTTATCCCTATAAAAAAATAAATTAGTATTACTAATTTCCAAACTGTTGCATATGTAACAACACAGATTCAAGGGACGCTCATTTGATATTGTGGGGAGGGGCCAGGATGAGTTTTTTCTGGATTAATCATTTACTTTCATCTGTCTCTACACATGCTTAATTTCCTTCAGCAGCTTCAAATCTCAACAATTTATTTTCACTTTTGTGCACATTTGTTCCCTCAAATATCCTGCATTTTATGTTGCAGCATATTCATTATCATCCAGTCTTGTGCAAAGTAATTTATTTTAAGTTCTTACAAGGCCAAGGTATTCATTTTCAAAATCCTCTTGATGATACCCCCTCCAAACAATCAAATAGTTGCCTCCTTAAGATGGATAACATTGTATTTTTTCCCTATTTTATAAGTGAGAGGTTGAGAAGCTGCATTTATATCTTGTCATGGGCGCAAAAGAAAGTTCCACGAAGATGATATACCATGACTTCCTTTTGTACCCCTTCTGTTGATGGAATAAACATAGACATAGTTACATGAAAGGGGGTTCCAAAGAAAGTGTTACCAAATTAATATTTTGATGAAGTCACATTCAAAATCACAAAAAGAGTGTCGATAAAATTTATATATTAACCAGAATGCTTATTTACAATACAACAAATTTATAGAATATTGAACACAAAATAAAAAATATCAATTACACAGAATCACAAGTTATACAGTCTCATTCATCTTATTAACTAAAGGATACCGGCATTCCCAGGTATGTGCCCATATGACATCATGGACTGCTCACACCTAAGTCCTTTCACAATGTCTGAATTGCAATATCTGGGTCCAATCCCTAATTTGGCATATATTTTTACAAGGTTCATAATACAAAATGTAAAATGAACTTGTGTACTAAGTTTCAAGTTGATGTGACCCCAACTTCATTACCATTGGTCGCGGCAATATAGCCTTTTTGTGCTAAGGCGGTGTAAAGCAAAAACCAATCAATCAATCATTACCTTTGATCAAAATTTAAACCTATTCCGGTGAAACACAATAAGGAGGTCATTTACAATTGGTCTTTGTTATGTAAGCTCTACAGCTAACTAAAATACATTTGGATGCCAGTTTTATGTTTTTAATATATGACATTAAATGTTTTAACCTCATTCAAAATTTTAAGATTCTATCTTGAATAGTTTTTGAACACCAGTGAGATTAGTGGTCCAAAAATGGTCATTTTCAGACGTTATGTGGTTGCTCTTCAAACTTTACATCATTTCTATCTTTAAAATCTTTTTAACAGTAAGTGAAATTATCATTTCTCATGTTATCATTTACAGATTATTAAATGGTTATTCCAACATTACAAAAATCTGAGCTAATTTAAAAATTTAACATGCAGAATTGTAAAAGTGGTGCTTCGTTATACATTTTTCAATTTATTAAGTGTTGATCATTTATGGCCCTGAAAATAAAACTAATTGCAAGATTATTCATTAAATATGTATGTCAACATACTCATGATACTTGCATATAATAATACTAAAATAAAATACAGTTATATAAATGATATGATTCATGCAGGATATTTTTGAAATTTTCAAAGTACAAAAAATATTTTTCAACAAGAGGCTCTCAAGAGCCTGAATCGCTCACCTGTATATCACAGAGGAGAAGATTTTTAAATGTTAGCAAACTTGATGAACAAATTGTGTAAATTTGTCTTTAAAGGGCAATAACTCCTTAAGGGGTCAATTGACAATTTTGGTCATATTAACTTTTTTGTAGATCTTACTTTGCTGAACATTATTGCTGCTTACAGTTTATATATATCTATGATAATATTCAAAATAATAACAAAAAACTGCAAAATTTTGTTAAAAACTACCAATTCGGTGGCATCAACCCAACAATGGGTTGTTCGATTCGTCTGATAATTTCAGGGGCGATAGATCTTGACCAATTATACAATTTTACCCCATGTCACATTTGCTCTAAAAGATGTAGTTTTTGAGATATAAGCCAAAAACTGCATTTGACCCTTATGTTCTATTTTTAGCCATGGCGGCCATGTTTGTCAATGGATACAAACTTCGGATACAATTTATAAACAAGATACCCTAAGGTACATTTAGTTAAAGTTTGAAGGTAATTGGCCCAGTAGTTTCAGAGGAGAAGATTTTTAAATGTTAGCAAACTTGATGAACAAATTGTGTAAAATTGTCTTTAAAGGGCAATAACTCCTTAAGGGGTCAATTGACAATTATGGTCATATTACCTTTTTTGTAGATCTTACTTTGCTGAACATTATTGCTGCTTACAGTTTATATATATCTATAATAATATTCAAAATAATAACAAAAAACTGCAAAATTTTGTTAAAAACTACCAATTAGGTGGCAGCAACCCAACAATGGGTTGTTCGATTCGTCTGAAACTTTCAGAGCTGATAGATCTTGATCAATGGAACAATTTTACCCCATGTCAGATTTGCTCTAAAAGCTTTAGTTTTTGAGATATAAGCCAAAAACTGCATTTGACCCCTATGTTCTATTTTTATACGGCCGCAAAAAAATTTTTTGTGGTCGTATATTGGTATGACGTTGGTGTCGTCGTCGTCATCGTCGTCGTCTGGCGTCGTCCGAAGACACATTGGTTTTCGCACTCTAACTTGAGTTTAAGTGAATGGATTTCTATGAAATTTTACCACAAGGTTCAATACCACAAAAGGAAGGTTGGGATTGATTTTGGGGGTTATGGTACCAACAGTAAAGGAATTAGGGGCCAAAAAGGGGCCAAAAATAAGCATTTTTGTAACTTCCAGACATAACTTGTGTGTTAGTGTATGGATCTCTCTGACATTGTACCACAAGGTTCCATATCACAAAAGGAATGCTGGGATTGATTTTGGGGGTAATTGCCTCAAAATTTTTGGAATTAGGGGCCAAAAAAGGGGCAAAAAACAAGCATTTTTCTAGTTTCATGACAATTACTTGTGTGTAAGTGTATGGATCTTTCTGAAATTGTACTACAAGGTTCCATATCACAAAGGGAAAGCTTGGTTTGAGTTTGGGGGTAATTGCCTTAAACGTTTAGGAATTTGGGGCCAAAAAGGGGCCAAAAAACACATTTTTCTAGTTTCCAGACAATAACTTGTGTTCAAGTGTATGGATCTCTCTGAAATTGTACTGCAAGGTACCATACCACAAAGGGAAGGCTGGGATTGAGTTTGGGGCTGATTGGGGCTGATGAATCATAAGGGGGTTCAACAAATTTGGGGGGGGGATTTTTTTTTCTTTCATTTTTTTCTTTTTTTCATTTTTTTTTTCTTTAAAAATTTTCCATTTTAAGTTGGTTATTTCTGATTTATATTTAAAAGCAAATAATAATGATATGGTAGGAGATACACACCAAACAGGATGTGTAAATTATTATATACCGGTAATAAGTATTGTGCAATAGCAAGAAATTTTCAATTGCACAGTATTGCACAATAGCAAGAAATCTTCAATTGCACAGTATTGCACAATAGCAAGAAATCTTCAATTGCACAGTATTGAGCAATAGCAAGAAATATCCAGTAGCACAATATTGCGCAATAGCAAGAAATTGTCAGTTGTACAGTATTGCGCAATAGCAAGAAATATTTAATTGCACAGTATTGTGCAAAAGAAGATACTTTGTATAAATTGCTTATTTCTTGACCAATTTCAATGGGGTTTATTTCTTGAATTCATGGGGTTCTTTAATATGCTGAATCTAACCGTGTATTAAGTTTTTGGATATTGGGCCCTGTTTTTAAATTGGTCCACATTGAGGTCCAAAGGGTCCAAAATTAAACTTTGTTTGATTTTATCAAAAATTGAATTATTGGGGTTCTTTGATATGCCGAATCTAACCGTGTATTTAGATTCTTAATTTTTGGTTCCGTTTTCAAATTGGTCTACATTAGGGTCCAAAATTAAACTTAGTTTGATTTTAACAAAAATTGAATTCTTAGGGTTCTTTGATATGCTGAATCTAAACATGTATTTAGATTTTTGATTATGGGCCCAGTTTTCAAGTTGGTCCAAATCGGGGTCCAAAATTAAACTTTGTTTGATTTCAACAAAAATTGAATATATGGGGTTCTTTGATATGCTGAATCTAACCATGTATTTAGATTTTTGATTTTTGGGCCCCGTTATCAACTTTGTCCACATTGAGGTCAAAAGGGTCCAAAATTAAACTTTGTTTGATTTCATCAAAAATTGAATTCTTGGGGTTCTTTGATATGCTGAATCTAACCATGTATTTAGATTTTGGATATTGGACCATAATAGGTGAATGTCCAATTTAAAAATTTTAAGTTACTAGACCACATTCATTCTGTGTCAGAAACCTATGCTGTGTCAAATATTTAATCACAATCCAAATGCAAAGCTGTACCAAGCTTGAATGTTGTGTCCATACTTGCCCCAACTGTTCAGAGTTCTACCTCTGCGGTCGTATCAAGCTGCGCCCTGCGGAGCATTTTATTAGCCATGGCGGCCATGTTTGTCGATGGATCAAAACTTCGGATACAATTTATAAACTAGATACCCTAAGGAACATTTAGTTAAAGTTTGAAGGTATTTGGCCCAGTAGTTTCAGACCAGTAGTTTCAGAGGAGAAGATTTTTTAAATAGTTTACGACAGACGACGACAGACGACGACGACGGACGCCAAGTGATGGCATAAGCTCACATGGGGCCCTTCGGGCCCCGGTGAGCTAAAAAGGGGTAGTGTCCGTAACCAGCTTATTATTCTTCTAGAAAGAATAGCTACAGTAAACAATAAGCTACTTTTCTTTATAGATTTGACAGTTAACACTAACATAATAACAAAATTTAGCACCTTTTTATTAGAATTTATTTAGAATAAATGAAAATATGGTTACAGACACTACAAAAATGATATCTGAACTATTTGACTTGTTCATGCTTACAATTAAAATAGGGCCTCACTGTCAGCCAAAATATATTTTTACAGTAAGAGTATTTTATGTTTGTCTTATCACTGGAAAACAATTGTTTTGAGCGTCTTCCTTTCTGCTCTAGGTTAATTTAGCCAAAGTATTCAACAAAGCTTCCATATGAAACCTCTTCGTGTATGTCTATGATCTATGATCCTTAAAAAATGAATGTTCATTCCGTGATTCCATCAATAAGAAGGGTCGAACGAAAGTCTTTCCTAGTTATCTTGATAATTTGCCAAAAGGTACATTGTACCTTCTCAATAGCTGATAGTTCTTCCACTAGAAAACATATATCACAAGAGCCCTGTTAAGACATTAGATGAAGAATTTGTGGAAAAAATCCAACTTTGACATGTTTTCTAAAGCAAAAAATTTATAGCTGAAGTTGATACCAGAATTTTGAAATTTTAATTAAGTAGTTAGGTTACGTACCTTATCAATAGTTGCACTATATTCAAATTCTTCCTTCCAAATCCTTAAGGATAAAGTCTAGTCTGAACCAAATTAAGACACTGAAAGAATCCCTGAAATTAAAAGTACACAATTGTTTTATGACAATAACTTACAAACGTTATCAAATTTTTACAAATTTTATCATGGTATTAATGAGGAGTTTATTGAGTATACATTCTATACATGTATAAAAAATGTTTTGAACTTTTAGTGTCTCATTTATAAGTCCAATTTTTATGGCTGGATATTGATTGTTTTAAGGATGTTTGCTCCTCTTGTTTTTGATGTGTTTGCCAGATATTCGGAATCCTCTGGTTTTATCCATGTAGTGCCATTAAAAATTTTGCCCGCTAACCCCTACTTTTCTTTTCAGAATTTCATTACATGTAGTTTAAAAATCCTTATTTGAAAATCTTATAAAATCCTCATTGTTTTTGAAAGAAAAAAGGTGACAATGTTAAATGTATGAAAAACCTAGAGAGGATCATTTCCCACCAAATTTTCAATGAGAGCTTATTTCTCGAAAACAAGCACACGGACCCTTCATTTTTGTCTGCTTTTTCAGTTCCTTCATTTATATACTATCAATTTATAACAGTCTTTTAAAAAGCTTGTTATTTTGAAATAGAGTAGCGAACATCCTTAAGTGTAAATGTTACCAATGTTGTAGGCGTTTTATGACAATCAATATGTAACACTTTTATAATTATTAATTCATGCCATTCTTTAGAACATGTCATATTTGTGGAATTACAAAAGTAAAGTATTTTTGTATATGTAATGAATGATTGGTCAATCTTTCAAGAAAGAACTGTTTTTCTTTATTCCAATCGTATTATTACTCAAGTGTTAGTTACAAGATAAATTTTGATACTGATATGGAATTTTTGAATTCAGATATCAACAAATAACAAGAAATTGAGGGAACTTTAAATATTTCTCATCTTTGCTTTGAAATAAATAATTCCTATTTCATTTAATTGCTGTCTAATTTGTTGATAAATAACATTTAAATTTAAATCCTCCATGGCATTGAAGATATTTACAATTACTTCTAAATAAAATGAACTTTACTCTCACAAAACTACATGTCATAGTTAAAGAGAAAATATATATCTACAATACAATTACATATATGTATATATAAGCATGCACATGTGTGAACAAACGTAACTTAACTTGGAGGACTGACTTTCACCTGTATTATTTTTATAAACTTACATAATTTTTCTAAAATGATAGTATTGTCTGAATTAAATAAACCATTAAATTTGTAGGTATTTGGATTTGTACAGCAATATTCAAAATTTCTTTCTCTCTACATCCAAAGATTTACAAGTCATGACTCTACATCCAAAGATTTACAAGTCATGATGTAATGATATTCGTCACCAATACCACTTGAATCGCAGAGATGACAAAGTCTGTCGTTTCGTGACAAGCCTCGCCATCTTCCCGTCTCAATTGGTAACCGGTGACTTCCGCATCTAAATTTGCAGTATACAAATAATAAATTATTAGGCAATATGTTGAGATAATTCTCAAATTTCAAATTAGTCTTAAAAATTCTATAACATAGGCATTTAGGTAAGCTATCTATCTGTGACAAACATAATTGTGTGAACTGATCTTTAAGTTATTGTTCCACACTTTTTGATACCCATTTGTCAGCAAACTGCATATTCCAAATATTAGACATTCCACAATTATCTAAAACATTTTTTATATAAATCAATCATTTACTTTCAAAACCATAGTTATTTAAATTTATAAGTAATAATTTATAAAGAACATGAGACATTTTACACTCTTTACTCTTCTCAACTAGCAAATTACATTCCCTATGTTGACAAAGCTTAAATACATGCTGGTTGAATGTTAAATACAATAACCAAAGAAAATGCGTCTTCAGATAGACCAGTCAAGTGCACCTGAGCAGTGGACCATATATAAACGAAGTAATAATGTACACGGTTTGGAGCATGAGGAATATGGCACACCAGAAGAAATACAGGTATTTTGTAAGCTTATTCGAAAAGTAAGAAGGTTTAATATATATTTGATATGCGTATGTTCATTTTTGTTGCTCTGCAAATCTTTTCGAAAGTGTGCCTTCGTGTGTAAACGAAGATAATCTACAAAGATGTCATATTTGTTTGAACGTGGATCTTATATAATATACAATTTGTTCATCATGTATCTTAATGTCCTCACTGTAGTTCCTGGCTTCGGCTTTATGATTATAGGTTCTATTTTCACTATTAAACAAGATACACAGACACCATAGACACAGATACTTTCTTCCCTGTAGAAGCGAGTAGTTGACCTCAACAATTGAGAAGGGAATTTGAAAGGGTTTTCGGCGAGTATTTCCGGTTCGGCATCCTCTAAAATAGTTCGTAAAAGTCGTTGATATTTTTTTTCCAGTCCTTTCATTGTTTTGTTCCCTTCATAGTGTGTTACTGGTGTAAGTTAAAATGGATGAACACGGAAAATATAACATAGCTCTGTATTTGCACTATATCGTTATATTAGAAATCGTAAGTAATTGCAAGCACTATTTTCTTTGCGTTAGCCAGTTGCAAAAACACCTCTCCGATTCCAGAGTTCAGCCGTCATGGCCCTACAGGAAGCCAGTGAAGCCTACCTGGTCGGTCTCTTCGAGGATACCAACTTGTGCGCAATCCACGCCAAGAGAGTAACCATCATGCCAAAGGATATCCAGTTGGCCCGTAGAATCCGTGGAGAACGTGCTTAAAAAGTGTGAATTTTTCACCAAAACATAACGGCCCTTTTCAGGGCCACCAATATTTTTCAAAAAGAATCTATAAATTGTTGTACATGAAATTTAGAAACATAGCTGAACCCCTCTTCTCTTATTTCTCTCTCTTTTATTTCTTCTTGGTGAATCCATCTATATGCAAAGCAATACATATACAAAATTATATGATATATACACAGTTTCATCACACAAAAAAGGGGGGTGTTTATTATGGTACATGCAACTGTATGTATGTATGTATGTATGTATGTCCTCGCGTGTATTCAATACTAGAAAAAAAAACAATTAATGTTTTCTCTTTTCTTTTCTTTTTTCTTCTTTTCTTCTTTTCTTCTCTTCTCTTTTCTTTTCTTGTCTTCTCTTTATGTATTATTTACACCAGTAGACTAAAGAAAGAGAACCACCATATAGACATAGATAATGAAAGAAATAATATTTTGTTAAGGTAATTGTGCATCATGAAAGTTCATTATCTTGTATGATTCATTAATTTGAATATTTCTTTTAGAAAAACTAATATTAGAGGATACCATCTGAAAAATTGAGAGCCCTTTTCTTTTCAGAATTGTGAAGAATATTTTTATCATGTATGTAGAAATATATTTTGTCAACCTAAGAGTCTTATCTTGCTGCTAGTTTACAAAATCATGAAGTTTCCATTTAATTTATTATAATTTCGGTACGGGTCCAAGTAGTCCCACCAAAAATTCACTGTAGGAAGTACATATTAGCATATATCTTGCATTTATAAGCTTTTTTATATGATAAAAAGTTGTTTTCAGACTAATCATAAACATTTCGGGTTAAAAGATGTCTTTAGAATAGTTATTACATGTGTGCGCATTAACATTTTTATTGGATTGGCTGATGAAATTGTCATTGTCATACTGTGGATAAATTGGAATGTCGGTTAGAAATAAAACTGAAAGACAGATGCACACATAAGAACTCTTACCCCCGGTCAAAAGTATGTATTTTCTTCAACTGTGATACCTAAAAAATGGTTTTTGATAATAATAACAACAATTTTGTTCATACATTCATTCATTTATGATCTAAAGTTTCTGCAGCTGATCATTGAAGGTGTACACATCTTTGAAAGATGATGTTGAGGTATGAAAGAAAGCTAGAAAACTTTAAGCATGTGAAATTCTGTGATGGTATTCATTTTTTGAGTACATCAAATAGATAAACCAGTATTCCTAGATGTTTTCTTAGGTCTTGAAAATGTGTTATTTCAACTAACTTTTATTCCATCAAATTGAAATGTGTATTCACATTCAATGAAAATGTCATTTGAGAATTATAACAAATAATGCAATAATTTTTAAAAGTTTGTCTGTCTAAAGGGATTTTTATTTATCATACTTTTATATGTTCAAATGAAAATTTTGGAACTTTTTTTCTCCTTCAGTCTTTTATATTCCAATCGAAAGATTCTTTCTTTTCAATAATAGTTTTTTCTTAACAATTTTTTGTCTGAGATGAATGATTGTTTTTTTTCAGACCTATAATGAAAAAGTGGATTGAAAGTGTACACAGTTTTAGGCAGTACAGAGTTACCTCCCGGAATAAAACAACGTAAGCCAATCAGACAACAGTTAACTAAAAATGTGTGAGACTTCTTTTACGGCCGCGTTGGTGATATATATACAGTCACTTTTCGATAGAAACTATCATTTGACTAATCGAATATTTTTAGTTAAACATGTCAGGCAGAGGAAAAGGAGGTAAAGGTCTAGGTAAAGGAGGCGCTAAGCGTCACAGGAAAGTGTTGCGTGATAACATCCAGGGTATCACCAAACCAGCCATCCGTCGTCTAGCAAGAAGAGGTGGAGTAAAACGTATATCTGGACTCATCTATGAGGAAACCCGTGGTGTCCTTAAAGTTTTCTTGGAAAATGTCATCCGTGATGCTGTCACATACACAGAGCACGCCAAGAGGAAGACTGTCACTGCCATGGATGTTGTCTACGCTTTGAAACGCCAAGGACGTACCTTGTACGGATTCGGAGGTTAAACAGCCACCCAGCTAACATTAACAACGGCCCTTTTCAGGGCCACCAAAATATTTCAAAAAGAATCTTAGATTTGTTGTACATCGTTTTAAACTAAATCTTGAAATCAAAGTTTAATCCTACTTCTATTCTCTAGTGTAATATACTTTTCCCCTTTTTTCTTGTACTTCATTCCTTGAGCTGTTACATTTTTTTTTTTACTCTTTATCCCCATCCCCCCCTTTTTTTTCTTTTTCGTTTTCTTTTCAATGAAATCCCACAATCTTGTATTATT